TCTTAACTAAACACTAGATGTTTGGCTGCCTGGTAAACACAGAATTAAGACAACAATAATTCTTTTTTTTTTTTTTTTTACAAAGAGTCTTTCCATGAATGCTGGGTCCTGCTTCACGGTGCATATTTCTCTGGGTAACCGATGTCAGGAATGAGAGTCGGAGCTCCTTCCCTGAAGCATACCCACAGCACACTGGCACATTCTCTTTCTAGCTCTCTCCTTCTGCTAGAATCCTTGCATATTGCCACCCTGCATCCACATTTTCCTTCCCCAGTGGTAACATTAAACGAATCCAATACATGGATCGCGTGCTGGATGTTTAATAGCAGAGGTATGGCTGAGTGTGTTTCAACACAGCAAATTGGAAAAAACCCAGTCCCTTACTGAGGGAACACGGCGTCCATTCTTAATGCCAGTCATCACTGGCCAGAACACAATTGTGACTGGGCCCTAGCAGAACAGAGGGAGGCAGACAGAGACGTTGGGTGTGGAGCTCGGGAACACACAGAGGCTTTGTCTGGGTGACTGGCAGCTCAGTTGGTATCACATTCCCCTGTTTATCTTTGAAAGTGGGGAACCATGTAGCTACAAATCTGTAAAGTCAAGGTCAAAATCTTGGATGAGGCAGATTTATACCAAAAGTAAAGATGGAAGGGCAAACGAGGAACCATTTAGACTTGTTTCTCTCAGATTTGATCGACAGACTCATTATTATATACCTCCCAATCACTCAAAATGGCCTTATAGTTGCTTATTAAACAAAGCACTCATTTTGCTGTATTTATACAGCACAGCATGGTCGTTGAAAATCTCTGGCTTGTTTTTTATCTTTTTTGATCAGATGAGACTAGGCATTTCAAGGTAGTATGATTGTAGGATATTTTAAAATTTAAAAAACAAACCTTTTACAACATATATTTTGATATACAGTTTTTCTAGGTAAATGACCATTGACTAATTGCTGATATGACTTTATGTGTGTCCAGGGGTCCCCTTATCTTACCCGTGTCACACACATCTCCTTCCTTAAGGTAGTTTTCCTCTGTAGATCATTTATTCATTTATACTAATTTTCAATAATCTATCTGACAAAAGGTTTGCCTTTCCCTTATGCAATTGTGATTGTCCCACATTTTAGGGGGGAAACTATGTGCTTTAAAAAGAAGAGACACCAAACAAGAATGAAGTTTTAGAATTAAAAAATATGATTTTTCAAAACAAAGTGTTTCAAAATTCAGTAAGAGGGATATAATGAAGCAAATAGGAAAGTCTGATAAGAGAAAAACAGAGCTGGGAGCTTGGAATGAGTGAGAAGAATAAGAAACAATTCAGATCATCATTCGAGACAGTTAAAATGACAGAGATTTCAGAAAGAAAGAAGAAAGGAGAGGAACAAATCTATAAAAATATACAGAAAAAAAATTTCAAAATGGAATATTATGAATTTCCAAATGAAAATGGTCCCTCAAGTGGGAATGAAAAAACAAAACAAACAAAAACAAACCCCTCACATTGAAGAATAGCGTGGTAAAGTTTCAAAGGACTTCGGGTTAAAATAAGACCCTTAATATGCAGATGCTAATTCACAATAAGATGGTGGGGGGTCAGTAGGGAAGAATAGCATTACCTTAGATTAGGTAGAGGGAAGTGATGGGAGGGGAGGGGAGGGGATGTGGGGATAGGAAAGGTAGTAGAATGAAACAGACATTATTGCTGTATGAATATATGTGACTGCATGACCAATATGATTCTGCAACATGTACACTCAGAAAAATGAGAAATTATACCCCATCTATGTATGGTATAACAAAGTGCATAAATGCATTCTACTGTCACGTATAACTAATTAAAACAAATAAAAAATAAAAAAAGACCCTTAACATTTCCAAAGTTTTTGGAAAAAAAAAAGTTGTAGGCAAAAAAACAAAACAAAAACTAAACTACTCTCACACAAACAAAAACGAAGCCACAAAATAAAATAACTCAATATAAAATCCACTAAAAACTTAAAAAAAAAATAGACAAATGAGATTCCGAAAGGTCTAGAACTTCTCAAAACAGAAATGGAGAAAAAAAAATAGAGAAAAGAAATATATTCATAATACTGTTCAACCTAGAATTCCATATCCAAGTAGGCAACCAGTGTGAGGATAGAATACAGCAGCTTTCAGATAAGCAGGCACTTGGAAAAATCTTCTTTATATATACCCTTTCTTTCTAAGGAAGCCATTGGAGGGCTTATCTCAGAAGAATGGGCGGGGGCAAGCCACAGATGAGAATGTTCTAGAGTCCAGAACAAGGTGACTCCATCTTAGCAAAGCAATGGGAGGAAGAACCAGTGCCCCAGGACCAGAGAGCGGGTGGCCTAACACCAGAGAGGAGGACAGAGGATTACAGAAGACCAGAGACGTAAGAGATTAATGCATCCGAATGCCTGAAAATCACTAATCAGTATTTGACAGATCTGCTGGAGTATTTGGAAAAATGAGTGATAAGTAGATTTTAAAACCTAAGCAAATTAAAATAAATAAATGAAAGCAAAACCAGGACAATTATTAACTTCAGGGAAAAGAAAGTCATACAAAGAAAAGGAACAATTATGGTTTATCATAAGACTGTGGGCACGAACATTCACGTTTATAGTAATATAAACACTGACTGATGTAACTTCACTCAGTGGGGGAGGGGAAGGGAAAGGAAGAGGAAGAAGTGAAATGTAAGAAAAATAATCCTCAAAAGGAAGCCAATAGCCTTCAATAAATCAGCATATAAATGGCTGTGTGAATAACGTAGCAATATGGAAATACACAACTAAAAAATAGTTAAATGATGGAGTGGGATGAGGTGGCACCATGAACCGTTAGCATCTCTCTCTCTCTCTCTCTCTCTCTCTCTCTCTCTCTCTCTCTCTCTCTTTCTTCCACTGAGCTACATCCCTAGACCTTTTTATTTTTAAATTTTTAGACAGGGTCTTGCCAAGTTGCTGAGGCTGGCCTTGAACTTGCCATCCTCTTGCCCAGCCTCCTGAATCACTGGGATTACAGGTGACTATCCTGTGCCAGGTTTCACAAGTGTTTGATGAATATAGAAATTATATCAGCAGCAACATATTTTCTTACAATTGTCCAATTCAGAAGCCTGAGATCAGGGTTTTAGCAGTGTGGGTTCCTTCTGAGGACTGAGGGAGGAATCTGTTCCAAGCCTCTCTCTTTGGTTGTAGATGGCCATCTTCTCCCATCTGTCCATATATGTCCTCCCCACCCCCATGTGTGCAAATTTGTATAAAGACATGGATCATGGCCTACTTTAATGATTTATTTTAGCTTGACTACCTCTGTGAGGACTCTGTCTTTAAATAAGGTCACCCAGAGAGGTGTTGGGCATTAGGTTTTCAACACAGGAATCTGGAAGGCAAAGGGACACAGTTCAACCTTAACATGTGGGGATTGTCAGTTGCAGCCATAGATTCTATGAGGAAGTCTTCTGAAATGTTAGCAAGTTATAGCATTAATTTGGGCTGAGTCCACTTGAAGTCCTGGGAGGTCTTAATCCCATGTGGAGCACAAGGCTGCCATTCAACAGGAGTGACACTGACTCAGATGTGGCCTCCTAAGCAGTTTTTCTGGAACTGAGAATGCTGTTGCATGAAGGGCAGACAACAGAATTAAAGAGATAGTGTAATGAGCATTTTGTGGACCCTTCATAATTTGGTTGCATAAATGGTATATCACTCCATTTATTATGGGGTAGATTGAAGATGGGACTACAAAAATTTGCCATTAAGATTTGAGAAGCAGAGGAGTCCTTTAGTAAAGATGGGTTTTTATAATCTATGATCTTGCGTTTTTAAATACATCTTGATTTCCAGTAGTTTGGGGATCAGAAAGGAAGACTTTGCAAGTGCCACTCACTCTTGTTTGTAAGTTTCTTTAGGGCCCTGACCATGAGCGCTAACGTGGTGTGGCACTTACTACTACTCATGTGTGGGATGCACCATTTGAACAAGTGTACGCCTCTCAACTGATTTAATCCTCCCTCTGGTCCGATGAAATTTAATAGAGCACAGAGGGTTATGGGACTTGATAGCGTAGCTCCCTCATTTTAAGAAAAGGATAAGAACATATTGAAGATTGCAGTCAACGCCATCATGTTAATTGAATGATATTCACTATTTACCAAACCATTTACCATAATAGATGGTTTATAGAAGTTTTAATAAATTTGAATGCATAAAGGTGACTGTCACAGAATCTTCCAAATTCAATCTCAGTTGTGATTAGACTAGATTAGACTTTCGTTAAGTCAAGTGTGCAAAGATGTGTGTATGTGAGGGTTAGTCTTGGTGTGTATGTGTGTGTGTGTGTATGTGTGTGTGTGTGTGTAGGTGGGAAGGGAGTGTAAATGGGTATTTATCTGCCTAGAGTATAAAAATAGGAGCCCAAAGACAGGAATTTGTTGGTGTGACTCCAACACAGTTCATGGCGGAAGGCTATGACTTGGGATGTATGGGGTGAGGTATGATGTGCTGGGGTGAGGTGGTTACTGTGCTGTTGTGGGCGTGTGGGTAAGAGAGCTTGGTTGTGTGGGGTGAGCTGGTGCGTGGTGTGGATGGACTTAGCCTGTGCTTGCACACGGGCTAGAGCTGGTTGGAAGAGACCTTGGTGATGGGGGAGGTTTCTCATGGGTATTGATTACATGGGACGTGGGAGTTTGAGCCTGTGAGTGTGTGTGGCTTTAGTGTGGAGATGGGTTGTGGGTGCGTGCATGTGTGTGCATGTGCGATATAGCTGTAGCTTACTTTAGCTTTTGTTTAGGTTTTCTTTTGCTCTTTGTTTTGGTCATTGTTTTTGTCTTTGTTTGGCCTTTGTTTGTCTTTGTTTCACTCTTTGTTTTAAACTTTCTTTGGCTTTTGTTTGGTTTTTCTTTAGCCTTTTGTTTACACTTTGTGTGGCCTTTTTGTAGTCTTTGTGTAGCTTTTGTTTTAAAGTGCATCTTGGCCGGGAGGACCCATCAAAAACACCTTGTGTAATGAAAAAAACCCAGATATATAATCTCTCCCTATATATTCTGCATGCATTGAGGTAGCCTCAACCCCTCAGGGACCTTGGTACAGAAAAGGAACCTGTGACACACAGCAACTGCTATCTGAAGGTAAGAAAATGTCTCTGGCTTTTGTCTTTTACTTCCTTTTGTACCTCATCCTCAAGTGGCAAGTGAACGGTCGTATGGACCATTTTGTTACAGCGGATTGTAATAGCGGTCAAGGTTGGAAGGACAGAAAAGAATGGAGAAAACGAGACTGGAAGAAGGAGCAGCAAGTTGCTTTCTGATGTGGGCAGAGAGCCCTCCTGGAATGTTCGTGTTAATGTTTGGGATTTGTCTGAGCCTGGGGAGAGGCTCTGAATCCTAACTCAGGTTTCCTCAGATTCAAAGACCCCTGTTGTTGCAGTGAGATCAATGGTGCTACTGAGTTCTTTTTTTTAATCCCTATTTCTTCTTTGATACTTTGTCATGATTTGAAAATGAGGTTTTCTTTCTTATCTGAGTGCAACTGCTTCCCCCATACAGCTGAATTTATGTGTGTGGGATATTCATGGAGCAACAAAGACCAAATCTTAGCATTGTGCTCCCTGTAGACCAGCAAACTTAAATTGAAAGACATGGATGCCTTGTCACATACAGAATCTCTTAGAAATCACAGGGAGTCTTTCAGTTCTATAGTTGATTAAAAAAAAAAAAAAGCAAAGAAAAGATTATGTGTCAGGGGAATACAGTCATGAACTTGGCTACGGTACTAGGATGAAAATGGAGAAAAGGAGAATTTTTAATGCTCTGTGAATAAAATAGGGAGACAGAAAACAGATTGCAGCCAGATGTGCAGAGATGCTGGTTGGTGATTATTTAGAATGACAGGGGAATTGTTGGTGAGTGGATTTCAAAAATTGCTTCAGAGTTACAGAAAAATTGCAAACAGTATGAAAATTCCAGACTGCACCCAGTTTACCCAAATGTGAACATTGTACCAGATCTGCTTTAACATTCTCTTTCTATAGCAACAAATAATACATTTTATATTTTGCTGAGCCATTTGAGATTAAATTGCAGGCATCATCAAAATCAGAAAAATACTTTGATTTCCTCTAGAGATATCTAGACTTCATCAATTGTCTCTGCTGTCAATCCAGTGTGATTGACTGACTTCAGTTGTTCTGTCTTTTTGGTGTTCTTTAATCTGGAACTGTACCTGAGATAGCTATTCTCCTTCACTGACAGTGACAGTTTTGAAGTGTGTAGGCCAATTATTTTGTTAAATGTTCTTTCGTATGGTTTTGGTGTGAAGTTTTCCCATAATTGAGGTCACAGTTTTTGAAGGAATATGATTGCATTTTGACTGTGAATATTCAAATTGAACCATTTCTATCAATTTTTTTTTTTTTTGGTACTGGGAATTGAACCCAGGAGTGCTTTACCACTGAGCCATATCTCCAGTCCTTTTTATTTTTTAATTTTGAGACAGGATCTTTCTAAATTGTTAGGGCCTCACTGAATTACTGAGTCTCGCCCCAAACTTGCGATCCTCCTACTTCAGTCTCCAGAGTTGCTAGAATTATAGATGTGCCCCACAGTGCCCCACTGATCCTAAAAATTTTTAATTCAAGGTCTTATTTATCTGAGAGTCTCTCAGATTTTAAATCGTTGATTATCTATAATCTTTGTACATGAAATTACAAAAAGTTATAAATCCAGAAATTTTAGAGATAATTCCCAAGCATTTACCCTGAGTGTGTCAGAGCTGACCTTTGATTATAAATGGCAATTGCCATGATACGTCCATGAACTTGGTAAGCTTAGATTGGTATTTCATTTAAATTATTTTCATGTGTTGGGCTCATGTCTACTGCACTATGAGTGTTCCTTGCATAAATGTGGCCCTTCCTTCCTAAGCACAGCCAACTGCTGATACTGTTCAAGGAAGAGTTGTCCTGAGGAGCCACCCAGCTCGCTGGCATCCTTTAGCAGGTTGGCAGGGTGTCTGCAGTAATGGAGGAGGCATAGCTCTGCCAAGGTTGTGAGATACTGATCAAGTATCTCCTGTGTCCAAGAAACCACATACCAGCAAAGAACTCTCCCTTTGTATCACCAGGAGTCAAAATTCTGAGATCACCAGTCATTCTTAAAATATTCTCTACATAATCTGTGAGGTAGGAAATATTATCCACATTTTACAGATGAGAAAATTGAGATCCAGGGATCAGCCTATGATTGATTATACATGGCTAGCAAATGGCAGAGCCCACAACTCAAACTAAGATACTTACTGAATTTTATGGATGACAAGTATTATTATTATTATTATTATTATTTTACTAGTATATTGCACACATTAAAGTTACAAAAATTAAAATTAAAAAGGTGGGCTGAAAATAAACTACTTCAAAAATAACTTTATACCCTGATTTGGACATTACATGTAGACCTGATTTCCTTTCAGGCTTCCTTTATTTTTTTTTAAAGTTATTAAAACAAATTCCTTAGATATGCAAATAAAAGCATTCATTTCTCCCGGCCCCCTCAGGGAAGATCCAGGAGTTAACCAAAATCAGAATGTTGAGGTAGTTGATTACCCTGCTAAGTGAGCTTCCTAGTAAAGTTAACAGGACCGTTCCCTGAGGGAGATGAGGGAGATCAATGTCTTCTTACCTAACAATGAAATTAAAGGAAAATTTTTGGGGTTCTGCACAGTGTGCTATTTAAGGCTAAGAAGCTTGGCTAGTGGGAAAAGGAAGCATTAACTGTTACGACTGTCTTATCTGGGCCATGGAAGTCACCCTGTGGTTTGGTAAAGTGTTTTACATACTTAGAGGATTATGTTTTCCCAAGACGAATCATCTTGGGGAAAATGAAGGCATGAAGACCCCTTTTTTCTCTTTCAGTCAAAACAATTGGGGGTCAGGACGTGGAAGGCTCAGAAGGCCAGGAGGGAATTGTGGATGGGAGTTAATCTTCTGACAACCTAGAAGTCTGCTGGGCTGGGACCACAGAAGGAGGCTCTGTACCGTGGGCTCCAGCAGTGACTTCTTCCATTGGCACGGAGGCCACTCCTGCATCCGTTGTTTCTGTTATCTTTTAAGCATTAGAGTCAGCTGGGCTCTGGGTGGCTAAGGAAGCACCCTGTTTAAAAACATACTTGAGATTTTGTTATTGATCAGATATGGTGAGGCCAACAGATCAGGAGATGAGTGACATTGGAAAGTTTGTTACAGTTCCTGTTTTAGTCAGATTTTTCATTGCTATGACTAAAAGACCTGACCAGAACAATTTTACAGGAGTAAAAGAGGTCTCAGTCCATAGATAGCTGGCTCCATTCCTTGGCTTGAGGTGAGACAGAACATCATGGCATAAGAACGTGGCAGAGAGAAGCAGCTCACAAGATGATCAGAAGGGGGGGGGAGAGAGAGAGAGAGAGAGAGAAGAAGAAGAAGAAGAAGAAGAAGAAGAAGAAGAAGAGGAGGAGGAGGAGGAGGAGGAGGAGGAGGAGGAGGAGGAGGAGGAGGAGGAGGAGAGGAGAAGAGAAGAGAAGAGATTCAGAGACGGAGACACTCCACTTGCCAGATACCAAATATAAACCTCAAAGGCACGCCCCCAGTGACTCACCTCCTCCAGCCACACCCTACCTGCCTTCAGTTATCAACTCAGTTAATCCCATCAAGGGATTAATTCACTGATTGATGGATTAAGGCTCTCTTAACCCAATCATTTCTCCTCTAAAACTTTCATTGTTTCATCTGTGAGCTTTTGGGGGACACCTCACATTCAAACCATAACAGATCCCAAGAGGAGGGGGACATGGGGACATGAAATTAGAGGAAAGGGGCCACATGAGGAAGTACCAGTTTCCTTGGTCAGGAGTCAAGAGGAGAAAGGGGGAAGCAGGGGTGGAAGTCTTTATTGTGGTTTTGTGGGGAACAGTAGGAAATGCAGGATAAGGGACTAGGCAGGTTTAGGATTGGCTAGTGTGAATAATTTCTTGGGACTCTGGGATGTAGAATCTGTTCCAAGTTAACTGGGATCTGGCCCTGGGGACATCAGGACAGAGGAATATTTGTTCATCCTGTGAGAGCTTAATGAAGGAGGTAGTTGGAAAATCTGGGCTCTGGATTGGTTGATTTCCATATGAAAGGTGAGCTCACAAAGGAGTCACTGGCTATCTCTAGGAATTAACTAGTCCTGGGGAAGGCAGCCTCTCCAGGATCAGCAAGACCCCCAATGCCAGAGCATTATGAACACAGAAAATAAGAAAATACAGTTAATACAGTTAGTGTCCACATTTGGAGTGAATGAACATGGGAAAGGAGAGCAACATTTAGAGGCTGGAATAACAGCATTTAAGATCCAGGACATCGGATACAGAGGCCTTCATGGAAAGTGTAACTATTTTTTATGGGAGTTCAAAAATTAATAAGGAAGATAGAGGAATGGATTCTCAGAAATCTACAGAAGTGAGTTGTGTAGTAAACTATCATAAACATAGTTTCTTAAGACTGTTCCCATTTATTACCTCACTGTTCTGTAGATCAGAAGTCCTGTGGGCTTGTCTATATCTTCTGCTTTGGATCTCACAAGGACACGAAGTGGTTGTCTGCAGAGCTCCTGTCTAGAAGAAGCTCTGAAATCCAGGCTCAAGCAGGTTGTTGGCAGAACTCACTCCTTGTGGTTGTTGGGCTCAGGTCTCTGGTTTGCTCCAGTCAGTAATGGTGGGTTGAGCTCTTCTCAAGCTAGGAGTAACTCTGGCCTCGTCTTCTGTTGCATTTCTCTGACCCCAGCTAGAGAAAGTTCTTGGTTTTTAAGGGTTTATATTATCCGACTCACCCAAATCATCCAGAATAATCTCCCTGTAAAATCCTTGGCCTTCACTATGTCTGTAAAGTTTCTTTCGTTACATAACATAACATAAGGTATTCAGAAGTTTCAGTGATTAGGATTTGGAAATTTATGGGGCAGTCCATTCAGCCTACTGCAGGGGGCTTAGGGTCAATGCAAATGTGAATATTAAATATACAGTGAGCACATACATGTTCTATGTATAGTCTAGAGTTTGCATAGAAATCAGGGAGCAGTATAAGTAGCAGTTACCAATCAACCAAGGCATAAGACCTGGCTTAAAAAATCTGAAATAATACTCATATTATACTCATTTAAAGTTTCTCACATGGGATAATAATAACATTTACCCTCAGAGACATATTGAAGGGATCTTCACAATACCTTCATGCAAAATGTTTTCAAGAATAACTGAAGTCAATTACTTAAGTTTAGAAACTGGTTTATTATATTTTAAAAGCAAGGTATTAAAGGTCTAACGTGGAAGACAAACATTTTTTTTGAGGGGGGAAAGGGACTCCATCATGTTAGGTCCTTGATGTGGAACTTTGGTGACAGAATCTCACATTTCACTTCCCCTCTCTAGTCAGTAGCCAAGAACAACTGTCCAAGAATTCTGGGTAAACGCAGAGCCTCTTGGTTAAGGAGGCTGGAAGCTAACTTATGACATGGAGTTGTACTGAGACTTCCTTCTTCCTTTTCCAAATCCCCATTTACTACATCCCAAGTCTGAAGATCTGTTTGTTTTAGAGGAAAGGCCAAGAAGGTCCATCTATGTTGCCAGAGGAAATCGAGAGATACAGGAACAGGGAAGTGTGTGTTTTCTCCCAAGACTGGTGTGGGTCCTGAGCCTTGGCCACTTGGCTTGTGGTCTGGGAAGGCCAGGCTGTCCCAAATGGAATAAGGAACCATATCTCTGGAGAGAGAGAAGGTGAGGGAAAGAGAATAGGGAGAAGAAATGGTAAGATTCTGGCTCTCTTACTGATCCAAAGGCAAAAAGTAAATCATGAGCAGGAGAAAATATATGTACAGCCCACAGGCATAGGAGATCTTGCTGATTATGTTATAGAAAGTTGGCTCTGGCACTTGCACATGGAAACTTATGACTTAGAGGAGGCAAATATATCGGTATAGAAGGCTTAAGAAATTTTAACTAAAAGTAATAATGGACAAAACTGTAAGTTAAGCAGGTAAACCTCAAATATTAAATTCCAGTCAGAGGGAGTAACAATTGCCTTTTATATAATTAAGATAAATGGTGCATTCACAGTCTATTTCAGACTCCCTGTAGGAAACACAAGGGACCAGACACTGGTACTGAGAGACACGGAAAACCTTCTTAGGGCTTCAGTTCACTGGAAAACTAGACTGTACTTGGGCATCACCTTCTCTTTATAGTCAATATTTATTTAAGATAACTTGGTTCTCAGATAAAGCTACTAAGTTTTCAGAAGTGAATAGAATGGTAGAAGCTAACTAACTTATGTTGAATAAATTGGGGACTTCAGAACCACAATGTCTTCTGTAGTTGAAAAGCTTTTTTTTTTCTGTATGGTTCTGTCTTACATATAACTTTTTAAAATGAACATTCAAGTTTCCAAGTAGTTCCTTGGTGCCCACCAATGCTATTAGCTGATGTTCATTAATTATGAGTGTATAGATAACTTAGTGTCAACATCATGTTAAATAGAGGAAGTTGAGGAATTCTGAGTTAACTGGAAGCCTCCATTCAGGTATTTATTCTCAGTTCTTCACAAGCTTGTGACACATTTCATTCATTCATTCATTCACTCATTCACTCACTCATTTACTAACTCAAATATTTATTGAGAGTCCATGTGGCAGGCACTGAGCTAGCATCTGGAGAGTTTACATTTTTGTGGTAGTGGAAAAAAAATCGTATGCAACCCCAACAATAATAAAAGCAAATGAGAAGCACCCCAGGAAGCTATATAATTGTGAAATGATGGTGTTTATTGTTAATCTAACTAAATGACCAGAAATTTTTTTCTCTGAGAGAGGGGTGTTTGACTTGAAATTTTCTATTCTCAAACAGGCATTGCAAGAGGAGGGCATTTGTGGAAAAGAGACTATTATTATCAAGTGTCCAGGGTAGGCAGAACCATATTTTATGGTTATATTTGAATAAGGAGAAGCACAGAGAGCTAGGGGCTAAGTATCTTTTACAGCTCCCCTTTTCCTGACTTGGCTGGTTTTTAGGAATCCTCACAGATTAAATAAGTTATTATCATGAAACAGATGCTGACATTAAACAAAATGCAGACTCCGAAATTATCTGTACCACCTCCAGTATACGCATCGTTCCCTTAGGAGCCATTTATTCCCTAACTGCTTCTCCTTCTTCATGAAATTTTAATTCTGTAGATATACGACATATTGTTTATGCATTGTACATATCTCTATGCTTTGTTAATAAAAAGAACAAGATGTTTTTAGTCCCCTGCCCCACTTTTCATGCTTTTCACCCATCTTCCTTTAATGTTAACATTTTACACAACCATGCAGTTCAATTAATAAAACTGATAAGTTAACATCAATACAACATTATTAGCTAACTACGTCTCTCATCCACATTTCACAAGTTTTACCCACTAATATCCTTTGTCTATGTCAGGATCGAATCCGGGATGCCCCATTGCATTTATACTGTAAATTAAAAAGGAATCTTTAATTTTCTTTTTTCTGTGATGGTTCCTCAATCTTTCTTTTTCTTTTATGACCTTGAGACTTTTAAAGAACACGGATAAATGATTTGTAAAATGTATTTCCATTTGAATTTTTCTGGTGCCTTTTCACAATTAGATAGATCATGTTTATGAATTATTGAAAAGAATCCCAGAGATGATGTTCCCTTTCAGTGTGTTGCATCTGGGTAAATGATGATGATCTTTCTTATTACTGATAATGTTACCCTGCTTCATATTATTAAGGTGGTATTTTCCAAATTTCTCCACTATAAAATTATTATTTTTTATTTTTAATTAATAAATATTTCTGTGGGGAAGAGATATTTTAAGACTCTGCAAATATCCTGTTTTTCATTGACCTTTCACTTATTAAATTTAGCATTCATTAGTGAATGCTGCTTGAAGAAATTATTATTGTGTTCTAATGGTGGTTTATTACTTTCTCATTGCATATGCCTTCATTAATTGGAATTATCCTTTCAGAAATAATTTATTTCTTTTCTCTTTAGCATAGTTATATGACTAATTTTATATATTAGTCATAGTTATATGACTAATTTTCATTAATCACATTTATTTGTCACCATCTGCATTCCATCTTGAGTTCCCTCCTATTCCCTATATCGTGATTGGTTTTTTAAATGATGTATTTTTATTCCATATTGAAATTTCTCATCTTCTCATCCATTGTGCTCATCTTTTCTCTAATTTCTTTCACATATTGATAATGGTAATCTCTGGGTCTGCTTCCATTGATCATTTTGTCTCTTGATTTTTCAGTTTCCTTTTGTTTCTTCAAATGTCTAGTAATTTTGGTTTTCAGTTTATTTTTTGTAAGACGTTGTAAATAACAGATTGTAGAGTTTCTGGTTTATGTTAAATTACAGATGGATCACCTTGTTAGGACATGCCTATTTGATCTTTTCTTATTCCTAGGAGTGGTCCCTATCTGGGTGAAATCTCCTGGTGTCTCAACTGAAAGCTTGGGGTGTTCACTAAGGTCTTACAATGTTTCCCCAGTCGTGTGTGAACTCTGAAATCTCTTCTCAGTTATCAGCCTCTTCAGAGATTTTTATTCTTAGGTTTCACACAGTATCCACCTGCATTTGCACAATTTTGGATTTGGCCAAGTAGCTGAGAGAAAGTATAAATATCTCTCCCCCTTTCTGTTATTCTCTCCTTCACCCTTTTATGTCTTAGCATCCCCTAACTCTTGTGTCTGTTTCTTCCTCTCTCTGCATTGGCTCTTTCTCCCTGCATAACAGTTTGGAAAATATCTTTAGAGAAAAACCAGTATATGTGTGGTTCACCTCCTTTGCTTCCTTCCTCTCAAGGATTATATCCCTGATGTGTTTACTGTTCAGTGCTTGAAAAAATTCTTTCGTGTATTTTGTTGAGTTTTCTTGTTTTTCACTGGGAGTGTAAATTTGAGACCTGCTCCTATGTACTGTATCATGACTGACCTTGTTTTTTTTTTAAAAGAAAGTTTGCAGATTTAGAGCTAGGCATGATGGTGGTTACATGCCTGTAACACAGCAATTTGGGAGCTGAAGCAGAAGGATCACAACTCTGAGGCCAGCCTGGGCAACTTAATGAAACCCTGTTTAAAAACAAACAAACAGGCAACAAGAATTTCAATTATTCTACCAAGTAGGTGGTAGAACATACTAGTAATTCTTACCTGATTTGAGTTAAAACTCAGAAAGACATATGTGATTAGTCATTATACAGGGTTACCAATTACATCTTTATTACTAGAAGAGCAAATTATCTACAAAGATAATCAATCCACATTACAAATTTCTTTTGGGCATTATTTTTATGTCTAAAATCTTCATATTTTTTAAGACCCCCTTTGTTCAAATGAAACTTCCAAGATCTGCTATATATCAAGAGAGGAAGAGGATAAGTTTATGATTAATCACATTAATGTCCATGTTGCATAGGAAAACAAGACCGATACCTGTCAAAGTTTTCACATCTGTCTTCTCAGAGCTCTAAGGGAGAACTTTCCTTTAACCCATTACTGATTCCTTTGATTGTGAATATTTGCATTTTTAGAGCCAGACTCTAGAATTTTATTAATTAGTATAATAAGCAAAAACCAAGCTTGTGGAGCTCAAATTCACTAGAAGAAATGGAAAAAAGACTAAAAACGTTTTATTTAGTTATAGTAAATTAATTGGAAGTATGTCTTTTTTTTTTTCTTGATGGTAAGGTGGCTTTAAAAAGTTTGCATGTGATTTTGTGACTATGTCTTTCTCCCAACCCCGACTTTCAGATGACATCTAGATCAAACATCATGATCCTTCCTAGGATGGCGAGAGTGGAGCTCCATACAAAATCTACTTGAATTATTTACAACTTGAGTAACCAGAACACTAATTAACCAGAATGCATTCTACTGCTTCATTTTTTAGGACAAAAAGAAGCCAATGATACCAAGACAAGCTCATAACAGAGATTTAATCACCAGATGTGTACGCATGAAAATACAGGTACAAATGAATCTCTTCACCTTTGGATCTGCATCTAAATTGTTGCATAATGAGTACGAGTATTCAGAATTTCACAGTAGAATCAGCAAAAGAACTTGCAAGAAGAGTTAAACACTTTTGCAGTATGCCCAGGAGTCTCACAGCATTCTAGATTTGGGGAGTAGAAATAAAACAAACAAACAAACAAAAAGAAAACAACTCTGTATCAGAGTGTTTTTTGGCCCAAGCCACCATTTTTGTTCACACTTGACAAACCTATGTACTGTGCACGACAGTCATCCTATGAACAAGTCTAATTTTCCTTATGTCCTCAGACTCCACTCGGGGAAATTCCTTCCATTTCTTTGTCTTAACTGAATCTCCCCAGTCTTCTGAGAATAACATTCTCGAATGGGGCCGTGTTGTGCTTCACGTAGCTCCAGGTTTGAGAGTTTGGTCAGTGTCTTCCCCTGCCCCCTTTCAGGCTGCTAGACTTTCACTCTCTAGTTAAATCTCTACATTTTGAAGCTTGTCGTCCATTTCTTATGGGGGGCCTTCACCTGATCTCACTCGGTCACTTCTCCTCCTTATTCACTGATGGTTTTATTATCAGAGCCCTCACTTCTTTTCCACTGCCAACTCCATTTGTCAACTTGGATGACTTTAATAGTAATGCCAATGAGCTAACTCAACCCTCCAGTGAATTATATTCAGTCTCCTCCATCCATTGTCACTCTGTGGACCTTGTCAATACTTGAAACCACTGCATCCATCAAATAGCACAAACATCTAGCATTTCATTTGCAGCCTTCCTTTTTTTTCCAAATTGCTTTTTTAAGTGTCCCACTACAACCATTCTTCACTAGGTGCTTCTAGTTGACTTGCCTTTCCATTTCCCCTGTCTCTTTATGAATTTGTTCACCAATGTATTCATCAATCACTCTTTTATACCTTCTCTTTCTTTCTATTACTGGTAGATTCTAAGATTCATTGTTTCAATTATTCTCTTGCAAATTAACTGGCAAATCTCAGCCCTGGATCAACCTATCTATCTTCTCCATGTCTATGCAAACCGCTGAGAATAATTGGAGAGAAACGTGGTGGAGCAGACTACCCATCAGTGGCCAGTGAGCTCATCTAGACCCTGAAAACTTCCTGGTACCCTGGCACATTTCTACAAAATCTCTTTAAAACTTATTCAATTCTCAAATCTCCTCCTCTCATAGCTGTCACCCTTGCTTCCAATTTCACTGGAAAAAAATGAAGCTAATAGATAAGTACTTTGCTCAGCCAACTGTTTTCTCTCTTCTAACAAAGGCCAACCACTCTAGCTCCTCAAGGTTGTCCCTAGAACATTGATCATTCCCTCTTTCTGATTCAATTTCAATTTCCTCTTTTGTAGCTGGACCTTTTCCATCGGCATCTATGCCTGCTCTCAAGTGTCTCATTGCCTCAAACTAACCCATCACTATAACCAACCAATCACCCCTTTGCCCCCACAAAAAGCCTTCTGGAAACCACATGCATCTTCAGCTACCACACTCTCCCTTACTCCCTTCTCAAACTTCTGGCCCGCATTGTCTGTAGTTTCTCTCCAAATCTTTAGCCATTATTCCTTTAGCAAACCCTCAAATCGAACTCTTGTTTCCACTGCTCCATGTGAACAACTTTGGTTAATGTCACCAATTCTCTCCACACCACACAGTTAAATATGTTTTCCAGTCCTTACATCACCCCACCTCTTGGAATCATTCTACGAGGCTGTTGACTCCCTCTTTTGAAACATTCCTTCCCTTTGGTTCCCGTGATGACACATGTTCCCCACTTCCTTCCTACTCTTCTGACTCTTTTATCTTTTGCCATTCACTGTGCTGCAAACTTGGAGTGCCCCAAGGCTCAGTCATAGTTGTTTCTCATTCCACATCCTGCTCTCAAGACAGTGCCATCCACCCTCTAGGCTCAACTGGCACCCACACTCCATCAGCTTTCAAACTCCATATCCAGCTATACTTCCTCTCTGACTGTCCATCTAACATCTCCATTTGGATACCTTTGATCACTTCAGAAAGACCCTCCCACCTGCCAGCCCTGTAGAAAATCACGGGATTATTCATCCCACACAATAGCAATGTAAATGCTCATGTGCATAAACCAATCTTTTATATATAAGAAAACAAAGCATGTCATGTTATTTGTGTATCATTTAGCAGAGTACCATAATTATTGGGTGCTTTTCTGCCTCCACTATAATGCCTGAGGTTTTGACTCCTAAAACAGCTACTAAAATATATTATTTGTGTGCTTGGGACACCAATCTTTCATTCTTTCCCCAGAATGGCCAGAGTCAAGTAGATCTTATTTATCAGAAAGGGGTTCTGCTCGGTTCCAGGAAGTAGTTGTCTACAGGCCACTAAAAGTGGTCCCTGGACCACTTTAGTTTGTCCTCATTGCCCCAAAACAAAGCAAAGCAATGAGAGCATCCAACAAGCCTTTGTTTTGGGTCCCCAAATGGGTAGTGACCTCCAATATAATTAGAATCCTCTTATTCAATTACTTTTTCATAGTCTTGGCAGGTCCCCAAATCAGTATTGGATTTTTGGCATCTTGCTGTCCTCTGTGGAAAAGCACCCTGATTCCAAATAAATATTTGTAAGAAATTTTCCATTACCTGTCACTGGTTTGTTACCAATGATCTATTGTTCAACTTTTATTGTACTCATTTGTAAACATAATCATCGCCAAGGAGCCAAGTGAATAAGCAGGGACAAATGGAGAAGATGATCTTTAGAAACAGCATTTAGTAGTTAGGACCAATGTTCAGGTCCTGCCTTTTTGTATTTTTTTCTGTGCTGGACTGATTAACACAGAAGCCATTGTCATTACTGTGTAACTCTACACGCCTCCAAGGAAGGCATTAGCCTCTGGCCTGAGAGAAGATTAGCAAGGCTTTAGGGACTACCACAGGCCTCTAAGGGGGTTGGTGAATGTGGAATGAACTTCCTCTGCAGTGAAAATCAATTGCTTTTGTCACAGTTGGAGGCATTGGGGCTGAGCAGTTTTTAGAAGCCTGTAGTGGGGTCATGTAAAAGAAAACCAGAGCCTGGAGTGGAAGGTTTGAAGCACCCCCACCCCATGATCGTTCTGGAATAGCTCTTCTGCCATCACACCTGTGCGTTATTCCCCGACAGGAAGCCAGGGGTTTTATTGGCAGCCAGGGGCTCACCACCCTATGATGGTTCCTGGTGCCAAATGCAGAGGGCAATCAGTGTTTGCTGAACCGATGAGCCCCCTTAGGACTCTGACTTCTCCATCTCTCTCACTTGCAAAAAAGGAGCTATTGTGAGACTGGAGGTGAAAGGAAGTTAAGCCCTTGAATAGTGCTGGTTTGTGTTTCATGCCCTGTCTTTGCTCTTATGATTCTTACTGGGACCTTTGGTCTAATTTCACTTTGTCGTTCTTTTAAGTAGTCCATCCATCTCCTAATCTATTATGACAGGCCACACTCCATACGTGGATGTTTCTGAGCTTTCTATCCGGCTCCATTGATCTGCTGGGTTTTTTTTTTCCAAGCCAATATGCTATTATTTCAATGAGTGTAATTTATGGTGAGTGTTGATATTTGGTATGACAAGATTTTCTTCATGTTCAAAATTATCTCTGTTAATCTTGGTTCTTCATACTTTTATAAGACCCATGGGATCATCCTGTCAGTTGTGTGAATATCTGATTTCGATTAGAATTACATTAAATCTGTAGATTTACTTGCACTGTATTGATGGTGTTGCATATTTCTCTTTCGGCATTCAAAAATATTTTGTAAATTTTTTCACGAGGCTCTTGTGTTTCTTTTAGCTGATATATTTCTCTCTCTAGGTGCCCTGTGGTTTTATGGTATGATGGTCTCTTTTATTTTATATTTTCCGATTGGATCCTCCTGATCTATGAAAATGACAGTGATTTTTATATGTTGATCCATGTCCAAAAATCTTGTTGGATTCTTTTTTCTTCTTTTTAATTCTAATTTTTTTTATGGGTTTGTGTTGATGATGATTTCAAGAGCAGGGTTGACCAATAATAATAAATGGTAGGTGGTTTCCTTTTTGGAGAATCTGATTTGGATGGAGTGTTTCCAAGATTTTACCAGCAGAAGGCAATTCCTTCCCTTCCCACTATGCTAAGAATATTCATCATGAATGGATACTGAATTTCACGGAATGCTTTCTTAGTATTTAGTACTGATCATATTTTCCCCTTTCATTTATTAATATAGTAAATTATATTTACATGCCTTTCAAATTTAAACCAGTCTGAGATTGATGTCATCTGGTTTGTATTACAAAACGTTTTACCTGTTGGATTGGAAAAATGTTTGGGTTTGATAACCCACTTTATTGTGCCTTGGGGAAATGGTCATTTTCATATATTGCCCGTAGAATGATGATTTTGCAAACTCCATGGAGAGCAAGTTGGCAAATCTACCAAAATGCATGGTATTACTTTCTGTCACATAACAAACACACACAGATAAAGACATGGCAATTGACAGGGAGGAAAGCAACCAGCTTTAGAGATTTCAGTTCATGATCAGTTGGCCCTACTGTTTTAGTTCTGTGTGGCATATGGAATGGGGTGTTGGAGCAAAACTGCTCACTTCCTGAACATGAAGTGAAAGAGACAAGGAGAAATGGATTGAGGTCCCACTATGCCCTTTGAAGTCATGCCTCCCAATGACCTAAAGACCTCTCATGAGGCCCCGCCTCTTAAAATTTCCACCATCTATCAATAACACCAAACGGGGGACCAAGCCATCTTAGTGAAATGATTTGCCATCTACCTAGTTTCTCTTGGAAATTCCCTGGATGTCCTTGCTTCTCTACCTGTCCTGGTTAATCTATCTACATGTCCTGGTCATCACTGGGCTTCCTTCCTTGCTCACTTTATACTGAGAACCTTAGAAATTTTGAAGCGTATGCTGATGCTTCTAGCCGAGGCAAATCTACTGGGTGGTATCATCAGCACGT